GGGATGCCATACTATACCGACAGCCTCATCACGCCGTGGCTGTACTCCTTGGCCGTGCCCGACCGACCGACGCAACGTCTCTTCGAAGTCGCCTACTGCGAGGCCAAAGGCGTCGCGTACTGCTCCACGCTTCCGATGCGTGAGACGCTCTTTCGAGCCTATCTCCTCGAGGGTCTTAACAACACGCTCCGCGACCGAGCTGTCTTTGACTCGGGCCTCTACTATGGTGTCGCCGTCACCAACACTACGACGCTGACGACGTTCTGCAGCGCGCCGGGTCGCCTTCCCGAGACCAACATTGACGCGGCCTGCGACGGCTGCCGTGAGATTGTGTCGGCTTCATTGCCACCGTCGCGGTTGCGCGACTGGATCGACGACAAGTGCCCGGAGACCGTGGCCGAGACAGCAACGACGTTCTGCCTCTTCTACGCGAGCAAGCTCGTGATGCCGTATTTGCTCTCGTACGAAGAGGCACGCATCGCTCGGTACAACCAGCTCCGTGGGTACCGTGACATGAGAGGTCCTGAAAAAGTCTGCTTCTACGACAGGCTTCAAGGTGCGCTTCGAAGCACAAAAGAAACGATCGGCAACGGCATCGGGTTTACGGCAGCTCTTCTGTTTGGCTTCTCGATATTACTCGCGTCCTACTTAACGTTTTGCTCGAAACGCGACCCCGCGGACGAAGAAGACGAGCTCATGTACTACACCATGACGCGCCAGCCATGGCAAGGGGTCTAATTGAGTCGAATACATGTACAAATTTATTGCCACATCACATTTTAGGCAGTAGCAACCATGTAATGTTAGCCTAGGTGGTGCGTCAACGTTGGTATTGTATCGAAGACTGCAAGTCGCGAACGAGCAACGCGCCGTTGGGGCTATGCCCGGACAAGCGTTGATGTCGCACAAAGGGAAGATCAGAGCATAGAGCATCCAAGTTTTTCAAGTTTTTGCCGAGTGGAGCCGCTCGGTTGCGTAGAGCTCAAGGACGGCGAGTGACTGCGCCGTCGCGATCTCTTGCTGCCGACGACGGTAAATAACAGTGATGGTAGTGGGGCACTTCTTGGGGTCGAGCGCCAAGCGGTAGTCCTATAGATCCTTGGGCAGTTGGGGCTCACCCTGAGACTGACGGCTGAAGCTTTCGGCTGCGCACGCCAACAAGGATCGAGTGTAGGTGTCCATGCCCTCGCCCGATGGCTGTAGCGTCTTGAGCGTCGTCTCGAGACGGCTGCACAGTCGGATGAGCCGTTCTCTACAAGCACCTCGGCGCGGTTCACGCCAGCGTGGCAGGAGGCGTCGTCATGCGCTGGATCTCACGTGCGGACGCCAAGATTGCTTTTCAAACGTAGAGCAGGTTGAGGCAATTGAGGTCGCGGTGCAGAAAGCCATTCCGGTGGAGTTCGGCCAAAGCGTTGACAATGACCCACGCAATGCCAATGGTCGAGTGGTCGAACGGAATGGGCTCACCCTTTCGCGTCTTGTCGAGGTACTGCCGGACGTTGCCGCCGTCCAGCGAGTAGGAGGAGACCTGCCTCGCTACCTCCCCTTACCTCTGCAAGGTGTCAACGAATGTTTCGAATAAGGGGCAAACGACGCCTGCATACATTTTTACATGTGCCAACCCGAGCCGACTGTCGTGAGAGTTCAGAAACGGATCGAGGAACGCGCTCGGAGATATCGCCGGAGGACCGCAACGATCCAGGCTCCATCATGCCCCGGGACACGAAGCATGCGACGACGACACTGAAGGACACCTGGCGGGGAGGAACTCCGACGCCCCGGGGCACAGATACCCGGTCACGGTCCAGTCTGCCAGCAAGGTCCGCACACCCATGAGTCCGGAGCTTCACGAGCTGACGGCGCGGCGGGAAACAAAAAACCTATTGCGGCGTTTTATTGGGTATTTAATTTTAAACTTTCGACCAATCACGCGCAGCTGCAAACCGGCACCCACGGCCGTCGAGCCGCTTGATGCGCCAAATCGCGTTCACAAATGAAGTCGCTCAAACTTGACAACATGATAGAAGACACTCTGGAGGTCATGATGTGCTACTCCTCGTCGGCGCGCGATGCGTATGACAACAATTATGTGCAATCGAAAACGTTTTGCGGATATGCCACAAACAAAACGACCCATTTCCTACGCGGGCTTCCTTCGTCGAGGTGGAGCAGAGGAGACACAGTGTTGGGGCCAAAAGGCAATCGGGTGCGGTGCGGTGGGTGACTGTTTCGCTAGGCGACCCAAGCAGAAATGCTTGGCGCCGCTTCGTCCGCCCCCGCTCCCGAAAACCAATTTTTCGATTCTCTAAAAATTTATAACTCCTACATTTATTGACGGCGCGGCGCCCTGCACGACGATGAGGCTTGGCTTGCCGCCTCGATGTGCTCCCGCGGGCATCGTATCAGGCAAAGACTAGGGCACTGATTTCCCAACACATTTTCTCTGCGACGCAGCTACCACCAGGCAATCAAACACTTCCCAGAATCGTATTGCACCCACATACTTCATTAAACCTTCTGCTCGCTGTAGTAAAAGCCGTCGGTCGCCCGCGTCCGCACTTGCGCCTCGTACGCATCGCCGGCCAAGATGGCGTCGACCGCCGACGCGGCGTCCGTCACGATGCGCCACGCGTTGTACTGCCCGCGACGCAG